ATAAGGGGCAAACTGGGACTCCTCCTGCCTGGGGCTACCTGTCCATGTATCACAGCACCAGCTCCTCTAGACCAGACTACCTTCTGCTGCCTCCCAATGAGCCTCACCCCCTCTAGAAAATGCAGGCTCTTCTCCTTCCTGCCCTTCCCTCCCCTAACCCACCCCCCATCTGCAGAGCTCTCAATGTATTCTTTTTATTTTAACATTTTTTATTGATCTTGAGAAAGAAACATCAATGTGAGAAATGAACGCCAAGTATCTGCCTCCAGCACCCCCCCCCCAGCCCCACGCAGGGGATCAAGCCCCCAACCTGGGCATGTGCCCTGACCAGGAATGGAACCCACAGCCCTTCGGTGCACAGGATGACGCCCAACCATCTGAGCCACACTGGCCAGGGCCCAGAATGTATTTTTAGAGCTGCAAGCTCTCTACACATTTTTTTGTTTTGTGTTTTTATTTCCATGATAACTATTCTGAGTCATCTCTCGGACCGCTTTCTAACCACAGGGTTGCTGTGTGCATTGTGTCTGGAACTGGACAGGCAAGCATGCTGGGGTCGCATGTGCTCATGAGAAAATGCCCAGTCTCCCTCTGTCTGCGGATACAAAGGCAGAACTTGTCTCTCACGGGGAAAATTTGCAATGGAAATCCAGTTTCATCAAAGAAGCCCTCAGTTTTGAGTCTGACTAAATTAAGACACTGGCCAGAGACACACGTGTGTACCCCCCACATTGCCACCAAGACACAGAGGCTGACTCAGTGGGTGAGGGGGGTCCTCATTGAGTGAGAGCCACGTGATGTGTGGGTGCAGATCTCCTGGTTGGGTTGAATGAAAAGCCATCGGCCATTTGTGTCACCCCAGACGCCAGGGAGTGCAAAGCTGCCCCCTCTCCCAAACCTGCCCGATGACAGTGTAGGCACGAGGTGACAGCTTTGTCCCACCAAACCTCACGTGCTGCTTCATGGGACAGCTGTTGGGAGACGACAGTTTGGGGGATGGAGGGTGGCCATGACCGCACAGCACTGTGAGCATGCTCAGTGACGTTTAAACATGGTTGAAAGGGGCACATTTTGTGTCTATTTTACAGCAATTAAGTCATTCTTCACATTAAATTAACCATTTAATTACGCTATTCGTCTACATTGTGTCCGTTTTGTAGGCATCCCTCTAATTTGTCATTTTATTGATGTTCTGTAGTTTCTGAAAGCTGGAAGCAGAAGTCTCTGTCTGGCCTTCTGTTTGTATGGATCGCAGTAACATCATCACAAGTAAAGCCTTGCTCATCACTGAGTCTGGGTCAGTGTCAGTGCTTCTGGGGGGGTCCCGGCTGGAGGAACCGGCTCCCAGGACGCCCAGGCCCCTCAGGATCAACGCTAGTCAGCAGCATCGTGATGCCAGGAGCGGTGCCCAGCAGGCTGCCCAAGCCATTCTGACAGCAGCTTTGCCCAACCCCACTACCCATCCTAGGCTCCTCCTGCCCCGGTCCCACCCCACCAGGCTCAGCTCCCTGAGCGCCACAACCTACAGCTTCCTCTTCGCTGCTGTTTCCAGCGCCACCCAGCCGCTTTGCAGGTAAGGCTTCCTGTGGGTCTGCTGAGCGGACGAATAAGTGAACTGCATCTGTCAAAGGCCAGCCCAGGCGTCC